CATAAAATTTATAAAAAAAATACCTTTTGCTCAAGTCGAAAGGCATTTGAACTTGGACAAAATTTAAAACAATTACTTAATTTTAATACTGGAATATTAAATATTTTATATTAATCGTATTAAATATTATACGAAACATAATATCCGTGACAAGGGATAAATAAAATGTATCGAACAGCGTTGAATGACAAATGATAATTTCGATGAATTTTCTACGGGCACAAACTATGGATTCGAACGGACCACTATCAGAGTACAGTGCCCCTAATCGATCAACGACACAGTCCATTAAAATTTCACTGGTTTGTGCTTGCTAAGAACAGTCTTCTAAATTACTTAACTGCGGATATGTATATTTAATATTCGGTCGAACGTGGCAAAAACGTTACCGCTGATACACCCTAGAAACATATTAGTAGTTAACAAAAAAATCTTAATGAAAATCTTCCTTCTAAACGTAAAACTTCGGACTTATATTTTATCGGTGTAATAATTACTATAGCAATATTGTTACCTATATTAAAAGAAGAAAAAGAAAAAAATAAAATATTAGGAAATGTTGCAACGAAATTCCGGATATTATTAACCGTACTATGTAAGGATCTGCAGTGTGATATGGATTGAGATTAATGCTTGTAAGGAAACAAAAATCACCGTCTAGTATGAAATTTTCTCCCAGCGTATATCACATAATCGGCGGGTAACGAGAACACGATTATGTCGCTGATAGCACCGATATATAATGGGTGATCTGTCAGAAAAGAAACAACCGTTTACTTTGCCATTAGGGATACGAAAATTATTTATAGTAAAATTATTTAGTTAACGAACAATTCATTTTATAATCGTGCATGTTTCAACGATTTCTAACCTCCATTATTCACGCGTTTCACTCGTCCTAAGAAAGTCATTACTTTGATATTTATTCGTCCTCTAAGATGATTAGATATTCTGTTTTTGACGGACCACCCTGTACATGCACGTATTATTTGAGAATGCACGATCGCGGGGCGGTATTTTGAAACGTTTCATTTGAGAACCTTTTGTCCGCGTTCTCCGTGCGCCGAAGACCAAAAGCTTTGTTCGTTCTAAGGTACTTTCGAGTGTACGACGTCGACGCATTACTAATTAGATAATAGACGGCGGCGAGGTTTATTTGTTTTATTAGGTAATGGAATATTAAGATACGTAACATCGACCCACGCCACGCATACGAAGACTCCTTTACGCAAAGACTGTTTTACACTCGCACTGTGCCGCGAAGCTGTTTTTGTCAGCGTTGCACAGGCGGAGTTTTAGATAATAAAGCATATCAGAATCGGATATCAATAGGAAAATCTTTGTCGCGCGACGTTATACCCGTCTCACGCAGCCGACGACACCGTCGTTCCATGGGCGAGACGTTACGATTGTGGTTCATCTGGTAACGAAAAGAAACCATCCGATACTGAATGCTCGTACCAATTCGATCCGGATACATTCGTGTGATCGTTTCGAACGGATCGTAAATAACGTACAGTCCTCCGCTGACTTGAAGTCTCGCGGAAGGAATGCGGGGGAAGAAAGAAGGGATACACGCATTCCCACGCACAGATCGATCTCTAGCTCGCTATTCGTCGCGGCAGTTACACACACGCGTGTGGACTGCCTGAGAGCAAGGGAGCGAGATAGATAAATGGGCGGTCCGAGTCCCTTTGCCCCTGTGTCGTTCCACGGGACTTCAAGTCAGCGGAGGACGGTACAGTGGTCCGCTGACTTGAAGCCCTGTGGCAGGAATGCGAGGAAAGTAGAGGGGATACACCTATACCCGCGTACGCATTGACCTCTGGTTCGCTATTCGTCGCGGCAGTTGCACACACGCATCTGGACTGCCCTGAGAGCAAGGGAGCAAGATAGACAGGTGGGCGGGGTCCGACTCCCCTTGCCCCTGTGCCCTCCCGCGGGACTACAAGTCAGCGGACCTCAGTACATAGAGAACGTTGCCGAAAGGACATCAGCGCTTCACGTATTACGCCTTTTGAGAGCCACTGCTGGCCGACGCTTCCGACATCCCACATATATTCTGTCAAAAATTCGACTCGACTGTAAATACATACGTAAATATATGCTCGTCGATGAGCGTTTTTTTTGAACACCGCTACGATGCAATCGTACAAATATATTTCACGCGAAGCCGTTTGTAAGAAATTTTCTCGACGCGGTCGTCCGATCGAATGGTAAATTCGCGAGTTACAAGGAACAGCGAATAATATCAGTTAGTGATAATATCGTCGCGATAACGAATTGCCATCTCTGTTATAATCGACCTATCGTACCCGGCGAGGGTGTTACGACCATATTTGCAATGCACTAATAGCAATAGGTGTCCCGTGTTTTGATACGCATCCTGTTTTCGATGCGTAGTAAACGAAATGCAGCACAAATAATAAGGGGGAAAACGATAGAGGGCGTTATCGTAAAAATCGTATTGTACGAAACGGTATTTCAGATTCGCTGGATCACCTTACGGTCGTATTGCGGGCCGAGGGGGCAGACTTCATCGTCTCACGGTCGACGAATCGTAGGAGACGACGACGCAATATACGAACGTCCGTTTTAAACATGCAATAGTTTGCTGTAGCGGGCCTAACCCCAAAATCACGGAACAACCGATCAAGAGAATGTTACGCGGAAGACTTTTTTCCGGAGGCAATCGGATGCATAAGAGATCAAGTTACATTTCATACGTTTCGGTAACTTTATTGTTAACGGTGTGTTATTACTTGTATCCGATAATCGTTCATTCGTGAGGCTATGTTCAATGAAAAATGCAGTCGTTCTTGCTTCGTTCCAACGACAACATAGTTCACCGCTTACGATTTGTAATGTGTTTTGTTATTTGTGTACGTTGAATAACTCGTTCTCGATGCCATCTTCGTTTTCAATAACATTTCGAAACAGAATTTTGCGACGTGGTTTAAAATCGGATCTATCCGCCGCTGAAAGTTGTCGTCGGAGATTAATTTCTTTGATCTTTGTAAATTGTTGGGTAGTGTTTAAATGATTTGAAGGTTGACCGTCGTGTTCGATATATTTCAATTACGTTAGCGAAATTAACTGGCATTAATCGACTGCAGTGATTTACATATTTCAAGTCAATTTAAGGACGACCCACGATCGAAATTTTCACGAACGTTCAATTAACGAACGGGAACGACAACCCGACCAATCGGGTGCGAGGTATCTACCATTGAACTCTAATGCGTGAATAGACCTGGAACAATTGATCCTCGGTAATGTTGACAGATTTACCTGCACAAAACGATCATAAGAACCGACGTAAGTGCATTATAAATACGTTTCATTGAGAACAAAACCTGTATTTAAACCTGTATTTATATAACGTCGAACATAATGCAGTAACGACAGTGAAATCATATTTGCAATATAGCGATAAATACAGAGAAATAAGGAAAAAGTAAGACGTTGTGGTTTAAGAAATGAATCTATTGTACTATAAGGAAAACATGAATATTTAATTAAAAATAAGAAATCTCAAGCTATCCATACGCTAGCCGAATATTGTATCAGCCTTTTGAGATCATTATTGTTATTATAAATATATAAATCGATATAAATTGTAGAAAATAGTTAACGATCGACGACGACGACGATGACGATGATGAAAAAACGAGATAATAATATATTGTAGTCATACGATTAACATTATTAAACATTATATTTTATTAATTATTATATATTGTATATATAATAATGAACAATTATTATATATATGCATATATATATCCATTCGAAATATATACATAGACATACCTATGTAAGTATTGTGTTACATAGAATATATGTTATTACGAATTCTTCCGTATTATTATTGTTTTTCACCACTTACACCTTTTACACATTGAACAATGTTATTTGAATAACCCTTAGGATTTAATGATCATTATCTCGATATAATTGAGAATCGTAATCATTGTGTAAGGTTGGTAAATGAGACAATTAATAAGACAATTAACAATTGAAGATGACTTGTTTTAATTTGATTCTGTTTATTCTGTGATAAATGAGTTCATAAGATTTAGATAATTACACCTGTTTTATAAGTATTACAACACTATATACTTGTTACATGGTAATTGTATTTTAACACAGAAAAAGTAATTGGAAAAATATCTTTTAAAATAAAGGCTACATTCTTCCTTCGAAGAAAAATATCCTTTATTCTTGTTTATTATTTGTTCGTTAGTTCGTTTTACATAATTTCATGAAATATATAATTAATAATCCAATAGAGACATGTTAAAAACATTTTACCAATAAAGTACCTTGATATGCAATATCGTATAATGATTTAAACAATACAACACAATCAATACATACGTGGCTGTATAATATATTTAAAAATATATATTTAGCACGGATTCAAGACATAATTCAAGAATTGGGTATGTATGTAACTTACAGGAAAAAATGGAGGGAAAAAAAGGAGGGGAAAAAAAGGAGGGAAAATTGCAGGTTAGTAAGTATATCATTTTAAGTAATTTCTTTAACGCACGCCATCAAATAATATCAAAACAACATTAGAAGCGATCTAAATATTTAAAAACGATGAATATTACCCGAAATAAATGAATACTTCGAAAGATTTCTATCTTTTCACTTTTTAAACGATGGAAGATGCCCCCGATATAAAAAAATGATCACGTCGTATAAAGTCACGATAAATAGATGTGAAGATAAATGGATGTAAATATTTGAAGATCTCTTCGCCGAATATAGTAGAACGTAAACAAATTGCACGAGCAATTTTTGACAAGCATTGATATGGACTGCTAGACACCAGTAGACAGCGTTGATAGCATTTAGTCAACGCTCTCTCACATATGCTTTCGTATACTTCGTAGTGATGCATATGTATATCGCGTGATGTTATGACGTTGCACACGATTATCATTGCAGAACATGATTTGCATATATATACTTTGTAAACAGTAGTGAGTATAGAGTCTGAATCAGTCCAGTGCATCGAAACACAATGCGTCGTAGACTCACGTTTTTTTGAGGTTATGCCATGATACAAGAAGGTTAAATCGTGTTTAGAAAACGAAAAAATTTGTGTCAATGTAAATAGCATTTGGCACAAATACAAAATCATCGAGTCATGGCCGATAATGCAGTTACTCCAAATGTATCAACGTACGATTATCATATGGTAAATGCTGAGAATGCTCAGAACACTTCGCGAGAAAGGCAAATAAAAGGAACGATGCTTTCGGATCTTAGATTAATTAGCAGAAGCGAATGGATCACAGTCTGCGTGTTATGTTTTATTAATCTTATAAATTATATGGATCGTTTTACTGTTGCTGGTATGTATTATCTCGGTACAATATTGTGTACCTAATATTCACTATGTCTTAACATTTCTTACTGGACATAATTCGTGGAAATTCGCAAAAGTTGTTTGTCCGTTACAGGAATGTTAACAGACATTAGAAAAGATTTTAATCTTCGCAACGATGAGTCTGGAATGCTTCAAACTGCATTTATTCTAAGTTACATGGTGTTTGCCCCATTTTTTGGATATTTAGGAGATCGTTATAATAGGAAAGTTATAATGGGTGGCGGTATATTTCTTTGGTGTTTAACAACTTATGTTGGTTCCTATATGAAGGTAATACATGAATATGTATCTTAAAATTAAGAAATTATTACAATTTACAATTATAATGTTGAAGTTTATAGATTCTACAAGTTTCCAAGATTGCATAAATAATGTATTTATACAACATTATTTTCAGACCTTCGTGCCGTTTCTCTTGTTCAGGGCTCTTGTTGGTATAGGCGAAGCCAGTTATTCCACTATTGCTCCAACTATAATAAGTGACTTGTTTATTAAAGATCTGCGGTCTAAAATGCTTGCATTATTTTATTTTGCAATACCAGTTGGAAGGTAAATTTAAGTGTTATTATAGAGGGTGAACTCTATAAGGTGACTACCCGTATTATTTTCACCCTGTATAATATTTTTACTATTCCAAGTTTCAACTATGACGAACTGTGTATGAACAGGTATCTATAATTTTTAGCGGTTTGGGATACATAGTAGGAGGTGAAACAGCAAGAGCTACCGGTGCATGGCAGTGGGGTTTGCGCATCACACCTATGTTAGGTCTAATAGCAATAATTTTATTACTTACTTTAGTAAAAGACCCTATCAGAGGTGAAAGGGAAGGCGGAGTTCATTTGACAAGCACTACGTGGTCAAATGATATCAAGGCATTATTAAGAAAGTAAATATTAAAGTAAATATTAAATAAGTAAATAAATACAATATGTGTATTGTTTAGGGGTATGCGGGAACCCGATGGTCGGGACGAATCGGGATGAGGTCGAGTCTTTTTGAGACTTGAAAAGAATTCGTGATGGACAATATTCTTTCAATTTCTTCTCCCAGTTTTCGTGAAATTATTGGAAACACGGATTCTAAGATTCGAAACTTTCCGACCCGATGTTTCGGGTTTTCGCACACCCCTAGTATTGTTTATCATTTTTTATAATTTACAATATTCTTCAAACTTTCTAGTCCAAGCTTTATGCTTTCCACCGGCGGATTCACGTGTGTGGCATTTGTTAGCGGTGCATTGGCTTGGTGGGCTCCAACAGTTTTGCAATTAGGATTTGCACTACACCCAGATGGACATAATGTTGACCCCGACGAGTATGTATTTTTTACTTGATTTACTTATTAATTTGCATACCAGTGTGGTATGGAAAGTAACAAGTCCTTGAAATATTTCAGTGTCGCGTACAAATTTGGATTGATAGGAATGGCGTCTGGTATAATAGGAGTGCCATTAGGTTCCTTCTTAGCCCAGAAACTAAGAGTTCGATGGCACCAGACTGATGCTCTAATATGTGCTATGGGGCTTTTGATCAGTGTACCATTCTTGTTCTTTGCACTTGTCACTACCAATAAAAATTCTGTCTTATGTTACACGTTAATATTCTTTGGACAATTATCATTAAATTTAAACTGGTCTATTGTAGCAGATATATTATTGGTATGTCTAACAATTTTTTATCTTTTATATCAGTAAAGTCGATAGAAGTTCGTTTTCAAAGATCTTTTTATGCTTCGATGTTATAGTATGTTGTGATACCAACAAGAAGATCGACAGCAGAAGCGTTTCAAATACTTATTGCACATGCTTTTGGAGATGCAGGAAGTCCTTATCTCATTGGTTTGGTAAATATTCATAGAATGCTTGATTAATAAATAAACATGTTAAAGTTTTGTTTCCGTGTTTCTGTAGTCGTTAAATTATATTTTTCTAGCCTTTCTGTTATCATAAAATCTTTTTATATTTTGCTTTATTTTTCACTTTAAAAAAATTGCTCGTTAAACGTTTAATCGAATCGAAGTAAATGTTCACCGGCTTATTAAACGTGGGATATTTTTACTTATTTGAATTTTTCGATTACTTATGATTTTCGTATTATTAGTTCACAAATTTACTGATTGGTTTCAGTTATCAGAAGGACTGAAAAAGGTTCTTCTTCCAGACTCGAATAAACATGAAGTCACCGATGAGCTTGTCGAATTTCGTAGTCTTCAGTACGCCTTGTTTCTGACGATGATCGTGGAAGTGATCGGAAGTCTGTTTTTCTTCTTTACGGCGTTGCACATACAGAAAGATAAGGCGTTAGTCGATCTAACAATTGCAGGTATGTGAGGCTACGTGCAAACGTTCGTAGACCGAAAAGACTTTGTCTTGGCATCTTAATTGCATGTCGTATGAAAGTCGCTACTAATACAGCTTGATGTTTGATACATAGATGTGTATATAATTTGGTACAAGTTTTATAATTCTGTTTTTTTTTAAAAAGTTTTTAATCGGCTTGTATCAAAAGCACTTTTTGCAAGAGTAACGTAGGTATGGTAAAAATCGTAATGCACTATCGCTTATATATGTATATATGCAATAGTATACCATCTGCAAGATCATCAATTATGAAGCAAAAGTAATTTGTCGATAACTTAAAATTCTCGCGATAAGAGTAATTATACATAGCGTTCGTGATGTTAGTACCCAGCATCTGTTTTGCAACTAAATGATATATGAAAATATATGTGAAACATGTATTGTTTGTTGATGTATCATTTTATTTACAAAACAAATTGCAGGTGCCAATAACGCGAATACTTTGTATAATTTATAGAGGAAAACGTTGCGTTATAATTTTGTTGTTATTCAGAGCTGTCACCAGCAACATTGTTGATATTTATGACTGCGAATTAACATGGAATATGATATAATAAATTCAACGATTTAATTAAAAATTAATTATTTTTACATAGTGCATGAATTGTTCTCAAGTTTGGAGTTAAGTGGACAAATTGCTGTGTCAAAAGTAAAGAGGTATCACAATTTAACTTTATTTTTAACACGTTAAGCGCCAGAATCTTTCTAATAAATACAATGCAATTATAAAACTTGTTGCATACTTTATAAAACAAAAATATATAGAGAATGATACATTTACAATTATAAAAGAATGTCTGGTAATAAAGGGGCGATAATAACAAAGTTGTCCCATTGTTTCTTGTTACCCAACAATAAGTAATTTTCGGCGCTTAACTTGTTAAATTTTCCAATCCGTTTATTCAAACGATTTGCCAAGTCTTGTTATACATGAAATATTTTCTTTGTTTTTTTTTTTTCTAAAACTGTTTTTAGAGAAGTGACAGCTTTGTTACATTATCGTTAAAAGAAAGCACATTTTCCTCTGATGTAATTTCTCAAATATCGTCGCAAGTATGGCGCTTAATGTGTTAAAACACCTTATTATAAAATTATAAATACATATGTGACTTTTAATTTATTTGGATGCTTCGAACAGAGTTTGTTATTTAGAGTTTTATTGTATATAATAGATTTCTATATCAGTTGGTGATATAAAATCATTATGTGTGTCTTTATATCTCGTAAAATGATTTTAAAACGGAGTTCTAAATGAAATTCGAGAACGGCGAACCGTACTGAGAAATGTTAAACTTTCTATAGAGTATATTTAATATATAGTATTTTACATGGTCTAATTTGGAATGTATGTGAAGTTAATTTTGTGTAATATGCAAAAATCTTTCTTGCAGACAAGTATCTAGATACTAAGAGTAATGGGCAAGCTGAATCAACGCATTTATAAATCACATCACCTTGGGGCCTTCCCTGATAGTGTGCTGTATACCCGGTACATAATTTATTTTCATGATTTCATATTTCTTTTTATTTCATATGATAGTCAGTTTAATATTTCTTCTTTAAGAATCGATTAAATGTATAAAATAACAATTCGGAATTCTGACAATATTTATGTATTAATATTAACGTCATATATAGAAATCACGAAGCAAAGTATAATATCAGTATAAATTGCTTTTCTGGTAGATAACAGTAATTCGTTATATAAAAAAAATTTTTTCAATTTTTACTAGTTTTCCATGTATTATATTTAAATCAGTCAAATATTAAAATTTTCTATTTATATATATAAAATATTAGTGAATATGAAATAATTAAATTGATTATCGAGTAAATTTTGTTTACATTGATTCACGTACATTACGGTTCCTTTATATTTTTCATTTGTTTTACTTGACTTTATTCCAACGAGAGCTACACTCGACTATCCATTTTTATCTTTGTTTTATTATTAGTCCCTTTACTTACTCCAACGATATCGCTAATATTTCATTGTGTTTATGCTTTATTAATTAATTGGGCGCATCAAAAATATTGTGCAAGTATGTGTGAGATTAATATTGCAATTTCTGCCGTATATCTGTACTTTATGAAAGATAAAAACTGATGAAGCTTGCCTACTAAAAAACAATTTTTCAACAATTCACATAAATATGATATAAAAGCTTGTTATTTTTGCACGGTAAATTAGTCGCATGTACACTGCTATAGATAATAGTATCTGTTTAATACTAACACTGATTATCATGTTTCTTTAAATTGTTATGTTTCTCCTTTGCGATATTTTTATTATATGAACTTTGCAATAAACCAAGATTGTTTCAGTTTGAAGCTACTTTTCTGCTAATTAGAAAAATTAAATAGATTTCTAATTTTACAGGTGAAAGGGTTCAATAGTTTTTCGTAATGATGTTTGTTAGACACTTAATAAATGTGATTAATCTTAGTAGCCATTTTTACCATCAAGACAAATTAAATTTTATTGAAAATAAAAGAATACTATTACCTCTCAATATATTTAGATTACATTATTAAATATGATATTGCCAAAATAAATTATTGTTCATTTCCCTTTACATGGAGCAAACACAGTCTGTTATCACAAACTCACAAATATATGTTATTTTAGGTGGAAATATTTCAGATTCAGTTTGTATATGTAACGACGAAGTTGAAAATGAGATACAAGAGGATGAGCACAAACCATGATTGGAAGCATCTTAATTATTTCGTAATGATCGATTACTGGGGGAAAAATTGAAGTACTGTGATGAATTGCAGCTGACATCTTGGAAGAATATTCTGATCAAGAGAATCGTCGATGTGTCGTCGACACACAGATAAAGTGTCTTAGGTAGAAGACGTACATGGAGAAGAGAAGTGTTTAGAAATTTCGTTAATTTGTAACCAACCTTTGAGCTCTAACCCTATTAACAATGTACAGAAGTATTAAGCTTGTCGGGGAATATATTTAATTAGACTAAAGGTATTTAATAAGAGCCTGTATAATAGTACTTTTGCATATTATATTTTTATAGTAGATTTCGTCTGACAAAAGTATGTTATTCTCGTGAGGTCTCAAATTAATTCTCGAATGCGTAATAAACGATGATATTAAATTTTTAGTATTAAACACTTTGGTACTTACGTATGAAATTTACAATTCTCTCTTTTAATTTTACGAGTTACATATAATTTACAGGCCGTTTATATATAAAAGAAAAATGATACAGCTACTTTTTTTTATTCAAACATGCATACTTCATTTAAGCTTTAATGCTTCTTCAAACCGGGGCTCATGTTTGCGTTATCGTGGACGTCTTTGTTACGCGAAGATGGTCCAAACGAGATAAATCGAAAACGCGTTCGTTAATAATACATGTCACTGAAGCAAGCCAATGCTATGATAGATTTCCTGAAAATGTTGTCTTGCTTTTGTTTAATGCTTGAAAGTCGTTTACGATAGCTTGTCTTGGCTGCATTTTCAGCGTCGTGTAGTTTTTATTAGGTTGCGTAATAAGTTCGGTCACATCGATCGGTGGTACTTTAATACTTTATTGTAAACTTTTATCGTTTGCAAAATGGCGTTTATATGATTGATCAAGCTAAGTTCCATATGAAATTGACAATATTTAATAATCTTATAAAGAGACGTGATCGAACTTATTAAAACACTGTGTGGGGAAAGAATGATTTAAAAAGGAAATAGACGCCCCTATGCTAGAGAGCATAGCTCTAAGCTGATACAGTTAACTTTATTTGTAGAAAAATCTGAAATCATTTTAAAAGAAAAGTAACAATGATAAAATTATTTCAATATTTACACGACTATTATGTACAACAAAAATCAGAATGTTATTACTTTATAATGAATCAATATTTATTTATCGTTTAGGTATAGGACTATTGTTATATGATATAAAGTAAATGAAATTTTTTCTTACGAATTGTTTCAATAAATTGTATATTTATGAGTACATTTCGTTAATATAATGACTTCCTCCATATGTGTTCCCACCTCCTATGTGGTCGATACTTCGTATCGCTTACATTAAGGTTACTGTTGAATACAGTAATGGTTCAATTTCCACGATCTATCTCTATCCTTCGTCGAAACCCTCGTTCTACGTATAAGTTACAGAAAGTGTGACCCATCGGTGGTGCATGATTTCCACGATCTATCTCTATTTATTGTAAAAGGAAATTTATTTTTATTATTCCCATGTATGAGCGTACATATGTATATCATTTCAGATATCACTCCTTTCGTGGGGAAAATCTTCGAAAGACTCCCTCCCACCTCTTTGGGGAGAGGCGGGAGGGGTGTGTGGGATTCCCCGCGCCCATTATAACGGGCGCGGGACCTACCCACTAAAAACCCCACGGTGACCCTTCCGCACGATTTGGGAGGATACCGGGAATCGCTCGAAGCATACTTCCGGTATCCTCCCCGTGCCCGCGCTTTGCGCCCACCCGCGGGGGGACAAACGGTCCCCCCGGTAATCGCCCTGTCTCATAGCGGCAGGACGAGGCCACATCGTCCTGCCGCCATCCGTCCCGGGGCCGCGTCTAGTGGCGGCTGCGAGCCCCAACTCGCAACCGCCGCGACCCCGTTTCTACCCCTCGGAGGCCGGCAGCTCATGGCCGCACCAGGCCACCGAGGGTGCCGCTCCGTGCGCCGGACCCGGACAGGAGGCACTGCCACCCCATCCGGTCCGACCCTACGCCGCCTGGCGGGAGGGGGCTCCTATCAGGACCCCCCTCCCAGCCTGGGTCAGATATCACTCCTGATATATCTGGCAACGTATAACCATTACTACTGGCTACTGTCAGTCTCTTCCAGTCTCTGCTGGCTTCTGCTGGTCTCTGCCGACCTCTGCCAGCATGTGCGGGTTTCTGCCTGCCTCTGCTGGCCCCTTCTGACCACTGCTGACCACCCCTGACACTTCTGACGACGTATAACAATTACTACTGGCTACTGCCAGCCTCTTCCAGCCTCTGCTGGCTTCTACTGGCCTCTGCTGACCGCTACCAGCATGTGCGGATCTCTACCTGCCTCTGCTGGCCTCTGCTGGCCACTCCTGATACTTCCAACAACGTATAACGACTACGACCGGCTACTGTCAGCCTCTCCCAGCCTCTTCTGGCCTCTGCTGACCACCGCTTACCTTTCTGACAACGTATAACGATTACTACTGACGTATAACGATTACTACTGACTTCTGCCTGCCTCCGCTCGCCTCTGCTGACCGCAGCTGACCACTCCTGATACTTTCAACAACGTACAACGATTACTACCTGTTACTGCTTGCTCCTGCTGGTCTCTGCTTGCCCCTGCCGGTCTCTACATGCCTCTGCATCCCTCTGCTGACCTCTGCTGTCCTCTGCTGACCACTGCTGACCACTGCTGGCCTTTGTTAACAACTTCTGACATGATATATGTATTAAAACATTGTATCATGTAAATCTATGGCAATAAATGATATAATTACAAAGAATTCTATGTGTTCTCGTCAATTTTTACCTTTCTTTTCCTCTCCAAATCATTACCATAGTGATAAGACTCCCTGAAACTCCTTGGTTTCCTTGAACCCACTAGGAAGTCCCGAAACACCTCGGAAGTCCTGAAACTCAGAACTTTGCTAAAAATTCAGGGTTTCCAAGAATTTTCGGCGTTTCCAAGAAATTCCAGGACTTTCCAGGTGTTTCAGGTCTTTCCAGCTGTTTCAGGACCTTCCAAAGTTGTTTCAGGACTTTCCAAAAGTTGTTTCAGGACTTTCCAGCTGTTTCAGGGCCTTCCAAAGTTGTTTCAGGGCTTCCCAAAAGTTGTTTCAGGACTTTCCAGCTGTTTCAGGACTTTCCAAAGTTGTTCCAGGACTTTCCAAAAGTCGTTTCAGGACCTTCCAAAGTTGTTTCAGGACTTCCCAAAAGTTGTTTCAGGCTTTTCCAGCTGTTTCAGGACTTTCCAAAGTTGTTTCAGGACTTCCCAAAAGTTGTTTCAGGACTTTCCAGCTGTTTCAGGACTTTTTGACGAAAAATTTAAACAGGACCCCCCTCAAATCTTTTCGAGGAACTTAGAAATTTTTCGAGCGAATAAATGAATAAGTATCGTTTATCGACGGTAGGTATGGCGGTGGCGGTTTTAGGTTCATTTTAGACTTTGTTATTAGGAGGACATGATATGGGGAAGAGGTGGCACGTATCTTAATAACTAACTATGGGAATGCTTTGGAGAGGTAAAGAAAGGTAAAAATGACGAGAAGACATAGAATTCTTTGAAATAATAACATTTATTGCCATAGATTTACATTATACAAGGCTTTAATACATATACATCATATCAGAAATTGTCAACAAAGGTCAGCGTTGGTCAGCAGTGGTCAGCAGGGACCAGCAGGGGTCTGCAAGGGACAGCAGGGGCCAGCAGGGGACAGCAGAGGCAAGCAGAGACCACCAGGGGCAGGCAATAGCAAGTTGTAATCGTTATACGTTGTCAGAAGTAACAGGAGTGGTCAGCAGCAGCCAGTAGAGGCCAGCAGGGGGCAGCAGAGGCAAGCAGAGACCACCAGGGGCAGGCAATAGCAAGTTGTAATCGTTATACGTTGTCAGAAGTAACAGGAGTGGTCAGCAGCGGTCAGTAGAGGCCAGCGGAGGCAGACAAAAGTCAGTCGTAATTGTTATACGTCGTCAGAAATATAAGCGGTGGTCAGCAGAGGCCAGCAGAGACTAGGAGAGACTGACAGTAGCCAGTAATAATGGTTATACGTTGCCAGATATATCAGGAGTGATATCTGAAATGATATACATATGTACGCTCATACATAGGAATAATAAAAATAAATTTCCTTTTACAATAATTAAAATATGATCAGGGGGTCTTAAAACGTGTATTTCCGTAAGAAAAATTTCACAAAATTTGTTTCATTATAGTATCTTGCTTATGTTCGTCTACATAGGTCGGAAAGTAAAAAATATATGGGCAGTCGAGACTTGGAATCGTATGCCGTCGAATTTCAATTGTTCAAGAGCGAGAAGGCAAATGTGAGCCTTCCTCTCTCGACTCCCACGAGGCGGTCCGAACTTACTTCGGGCAGCTTCGGGGAATCGAGAAAGAGGGCATGCGTCAGTTTGCCTTTCTCGACTCTCCGTAACTCCACGAGCTCACGTACGCGTGATCTGGCATGTGTGAGTAGGGGGAACCGTCGGTGCATTTCTGGCGCCTCTGCAACGAGTTGTGCACCAGGGGCTCCGTCTAGTATTTTTGACGCTCACGGAAGCTACCAAAGAGTATGATTTCATAGAGTGGAAGTGTGAAAAACTGAAACTCGTCACTGAACCGCTGTCGGCGTTGTAGTAGGAGTTCTTCAAATCTTGCATCACTGCCCTGGACAATACGAGAAGATAAGTGGAGAACACTGTGCATATTCTATAGTACGTTTAATCATAGTATGCTATTAATGTAGTGACGTGTTATATTTTTTAAACCAAACAAATAAGGAATTAATCCCGGAGATTGGCTGAAAACGTACAAATATCTCTTAGGCAAGTAGAATTTATTTTAATTGTACATTCATTCTATAGTAATATTTGCTATAATCATAATATGAGGAGGTTATGTACATATCCTTTAGTTTATTCCACGACTATAGGAACTCGTGAATATGTTATTAATTTCATTAACCTATCACTTATAATATCACGAGATAGATTAGCCGTGTAATTGATGAACACGGATATCAAGCTTTAATTCAATTTTAAGTTATTTTCTACTATAAAAAAATCAAATCGAGGTATTGCTTAGGAAGTCTTATATTGGAGCAACCTTGAGTTCGTTGCAATGATTGTTTTAATAATCTTAGGTACTATTAATTCTCAATGAATATAAAGTTAGACTAGTACATGGAGATTATTGCATATTTAAGAATTTAGTAAGCAATCTCTAATCGTGATTATGCTTTTTACATATCCGAAACATTAACACGATCGAGTGTACGATAAATTTTCGTTCGTTTTTTGTCGTAATTTATTTGAGAAAACTTTGTTCATAGTGTATGAAAATAATGTATTTAATGCCTCAATCGCAAGATGTAATCAGTTTTTTTATGTAATTAATCTTTCGTTAATTTTTTCTTTAATAAATAAAGAACAATATTGTTCATTTATATTCTTTGCTTTATCGTTTTATGTATTCTATACAAAAGTTCACATTTCCAAAATATAAATCGAATTTTATACTTTTAAAGAACACTATTTAGTTCTTATTGTCTGTGCACAATTTGTTTATTGTTTTCTTGGATAATTTAAACGTTTTTCATTGCAGACAGAAATGAACTATTAATTGTAAGTGTTATTGATCACATTTCTCATTAAAATAATTTTATAGGAAGGTAAGATGATGCAGGATGAGCATCTGAGTGGTCCAGGGAGACAAAATGTTTTCAGTCAAGCAATAGGAAGAATATCACAAGTATGTAATTTATTTCTTAGGACTCCATTTTCAATATCATATCTTTTCTGTTTGATTACAGTGTACCATATGTTTACCGTCATTTATTACATAATGTACTCTAAGGAATTAATTTTATTTATGTCACAAGTAAATTATGAATCAATGCAACAGTTTCCAACCATTCTAATTTTCTGAATATATTTGCCTTACAGATATATCAAAGATATTTGGATCTGTGGACACCTCATGTAATATCAAGGTGGACATTCGCAGTGTTACTATTATTTGTTTTTACACTGCGTATAGTTTTTACACAAGTAAGTAGTTTACCTCTTAAAAGCTCAGACTGTATTAGTTTACAAAGGAAATCGAAAATATCTGTATATTTCTCATGTTTCCAGGGATGGTATATTGTCACATACGCATTAGGAATTTATCACTTGAATTTATTTATAGCATTCCTTACACCAAAAATTGATCCTGCAATGGATTTTGATGGTGAGCATTCAGAAATCCAGAGAACAAAAATTTATTAACACTTTGTTGGCCACTGTCACGTGTGCAGGCAGGTTGTAGTCACAAAGGAAGAAGTTTAGATAAATAACAGTTGAAAATTGTTTTTAATTCAATTTTACTAGAAAAATCGCACGAACTTTTTCCGATGTCCGATATGCAAGGTGTTTGGCCTGGGAAAAATTTTAACGAGAGATTCTAGGAGACAAAATAAGACGAAAATCAAGAATACCAATTTGTTGCTCGAGGCTTCGTTAAAAAGTTATTAACGTTCAAAGTTCCGCCTGTAGAACTGCGATCTGCGTGCGCACAGGTTTGTGAACGAGAACCATTATCACGCGTGCGCAGCTGTTCGCAGATTCTCGTTCTACAAGCGGAACTTTAAACGTTAATAACTTTTTAACGAAGCCTCGATCAACAAATTTGTTTTCTTAATTTTCGTCTTATTTTGCCCTCTAGAATCTACGATTAAAATTTTCAAAACATCTCTTTAATAGAAGTTTCTTAACAGATGGAGAGGGTCCAGAGTTACCCACTAGATCTAACGAGGAATTTAGGCCATTTATTAGGAGGTTACCAGAATTTAAATTCTGGTATTCTGTAATGAAATCTACGGTCATGGCAATGATATGCACTATGTTTGATTGCTTTAATATACCGGTGTTCTGGCCGATATTAGTTATGTATTTCATAACATTATTTTGCATTACCATGAAACGTCAAATAAAGGTAAAGAATTGTCATATTTTCTTACTCTAATGCCAACATCATAATGATATAACTGTAAGTAATTTATTTTTGAAATTATTTTCCAGCATATGATCAAATACAGATACCTGCCCTTCACTCATGGCAAACCAAAGTACCAGAATCACGAGGATACTTCGAGGTTAATACCTTCAAAGTGAATAGGTGTGAAGTATGTTTGTTGATGGTGGTGCATAAATGTGTAGATTTCTATTTTCCTGGTACCATACGGAAAAAAAAAAACAGTCTTTGGATATGAAAGCAGTTGCATACTCTTTTTTTTTTTCTCAATGACATTACATACGAAATAAGATCATTGTCTTGTACAAGAAAGGGTTTAATCTATGGCAGGTGCAATGCTAAAAAGTATAATGTATGGTATTTAAACTGAATTGCCGTAATATATTTGTATCATAAAATTTGTACAAAGTATTGTTAGGTCTTACACAAAACGTGGACACAGTAACAATATGAACAATACGCAGTTGTTAATGTAATATTAAATTATCATTGAATGTAAAAAAAAAAAAAAAAAAAAGTCATTCGTATACATAAGATTCGTAATATAATTATGAACTCATTACGTAATCTCGTGATCGTACCGTTTATGTTTTTCGATGCTCCTTGTTCTCTTATTACGAACATTCCATGTACAAGATTACGCTTGGTTTATTTATTACAGTTTACTCGCGCATTAGAATTTCATTCGAATTTTAATTTCAATCATTGTTTCTCTTAAGCAAGGTATATAACAATAGCAATTAAAGATCGTGGCTCCAGATTAGTATTATTTTCAGCGACAGCAATATGCAGTTCAATGAATCAATACGATTGATTTTCTGCGCTGAAATGTAAACAAAGATTATTCGGGGCGTTTATAGTTCGCGGTGGGCGGCATTTGATCATTGCCACGAATGAATTTAATACCACGGAACAATTTAGTTTACTTTAGTTCGATATAAGGTTCAGACGTAACGTTTGAAGTGAAACTGTGTTCTTTTATCCAGCATCTCTCTAATATCTAATAAATAACAAGTATCGTGAGAGTGCATTTTATCAAAGATAGGCTTATTAAAATGGTAGTTTAAAACGACGATACATCGAATAACACATACCATTTACGATACTTCTCTAATCTGTCTCTATACAAATTTTGTATATATGAAATTGTTTAATAAATAACATTCACGGGTTGCTGACGCAAAAGTAAAATAAATATTAGGTCGTAATGCTGTTTAGGGGTGACTCTTAAGGTCCAAAGATCATCTGCCTGTATTAATGTATGTCTGTTTAGAATAATATATATACATATTTTTTCCAACATATAACGTTGCTCGTATGCGATATCTTATATTATGCCAGTTCAATAAAAATATTACTTTTAATCGTTAAAGAAATCAATCGTCGTGCAAACTTTGTATTGTACATAGATATCGCTCCGAAAATCTTACTAAATGTTTCAGTTTTTTTCTTCACACTCTTTGGTTATCTCTTTTATTTTTCTAACGTTGTGTGTCGTCCCAATAAATTTTTAAATATAAACTTTGGACTGATCGACTTATGTTACGCTTTCTCTGTCTGTATAAAATATGAGTTCCTTTAATTATACTTGAACGTAAAAATAAAGTTTTATGTCATCAGGTACGATTTCTTTTCGGCCTTTTTACCTTGTAGTTCATCAATTGTTTCTTTTTCGATCTTTGGACAAACTTTAAACCCCGATTAACGAGCTCCTCCGTTACTTCTTGGCGTGATATTATTAACTTCTTTTATCATATACTTTGAAATGTAGTTACGTAGTTCGCTCAACGAGGTTTACTCTTTAAATTTAATATTGACTACTGTAACATTCTTTTAACTTTTGTAGATATACGCGCACACCGTACACGTATACACACACACACACACACACACACGACTTTGCGTAACACGTTTTATAAATCTTAATATATATATGTAAAATATAGTAATTTATTCGACGATATCGTAGAAGACATGAAATAAAAATTTAGCGATATGTACATACATATATATATATATATATAACTTGGGAAAAAGTGATGCTCAAGTTCTAACGGAAGCGATTGTTAATACATATTTACAATATATTTTCGATAAAGCTTTCGTGGTTATAAAATAGTTAAAAAAAAAATTAAAATAAAGTAAATGATAGTCTGTTACAATAAATACTCTCTCTTGAATCACGGTACAAATGCAATGCTTGTTTCATTCGCCTGAGGAATCATTAACTGTCATTGGTTTTCATTATTTTGCTTTATTTTGGGCATACAACTGCAAGGATTGTTTTAAAAAAATTTGGGGTTTCTTGTTTCCATTTTTGATACCCTTTGAATTTGAATAAATAAACGTAATTAATGTCAAATAAGTAGCGAGTACCATAGGTTTACGAGGGAAGTCTCTGTGTGCGAATTTTCATTCTTTTCTTAGTGTAAACGTGTGATTTGTTTACGATTATTTCACATCCACGAATCTTTAAGAGTTCTGTTTATTTTTTATACAGCAAGGAAGATACCGCGTACATCAGCGTTGCGATACCTTACGAGAACAGTTATTTTCACCGATCGGAGTATTATACGTTTTATTTGCAATTAAAACTGGGTAAAATAACAATTAAAAATTATAATCGAAAAAGACAGTTCAAGACGAGGTCCGATCAAGCACAAGTTTTACCCAGTTTGAATTGCAAATATTTTTCCTTTGTATTTTAATTTCGATGTTTAACATACTTTAATTAGACTGTTCAGAACAGTTCAGCGACAGATAGCCCTTCGTTACCGATAATGTCTTACACATTCTTTTTGTTTCTTTTTACAGGAGTCCGCTTTTGGAAATTTGAGAGTGGTATCTCGTAGCATTTACAAAAAGAAAAAGAAAAAAAAAAAGATAAATTTCCCTGATACAAACGCGTTTCATAAGAAAAACGAGCAAAAATGAGGGGGAAAGTGTATGCTAGGAGGGGAAAGTGGAAAATGGCGGAGCACGAATGAACGAATGAATGGAGGCGAACGAAAGATTATCATCTTTTTCTAAACGCAAATGGGCGATTCCAAATAAACAGTTGTTGAAGCATTTTCTCGCATGTAAAGAATTTGTAATTTCACCAGAACCATCCCTCAGCATTCGACCGTACGCCAAACGTGAACTGTTAGATCTCTTACTCGTTTAGATCCTCCGAGATCGCCTTCTTTGATTTATCCAGAAACGTGGTGGTCGAATTCAGACCCACCACGGTCGTGGTCGTCGTTTCGCTCACCGAGGAATCTCTTTTTCTATATAGATTCGACGGCGGGCAGTACAATCTGAAAATCAGAGGATTAAAACCTCTAATAGTTTGTTGCACTGGCGTACCGGTATTATAATACACAAACAATGTTCCTTACTTCGAAGGTGACTTAGAAATTTCTAAATGGAAGGTTTTAGAATTAAATAGTAATTAGGTAACTTTCCTGAAAATTTCATTCTGTGTTAATGGACGCACTGTGTTCAACCGCATAGTCGATCGTCGTATCACATTGTTTAACACACACATATAGTAGGGGAATAAAATACCTTATACTCTCTGTTCTCGAACGGGGTGACCAATTGTTATAATACCTTCTTTCGGTATCCAGATCACGAGCGGTGGTCCATCGTTCAATGTGATGCTTTACAGTATTTTGAACTTCGGTGTTCAGGAAGCAATAAAATAGCGCGACGAAGAGGCCCTGGAAAATCAGGGTACAATCAGGGGATATAAAACAAGACATTGTTTTTTTATAACGCAAATATTCATTTTCGTCGAGTTTTCGATCTTCGAACGGTAACATTTTCGCGACAGACGAGAAGGATGGAGGAATTTCTTGCGAAAAATTCGCTCCGTAACGAGATACTTGTTCTGGTTGCGCTACCTGGGAAGAAAGCAATACGGCGCGAGTGTAGGAGAATGCATTAGCAACCTGACCCTCCGTGGGTCCCGTCAGTACGAGCACGTAAGTCACTCCGAGCAGAGGTATCAACACCAGAAGCGCTTTGCTCGCCTTTCGATATTGTTGCGTCTCCGCGTTCGTCGCCGACCAGAGTTTCGTTATCAGCACCTGCAACAACGGAATCGTTACCAAACAATTCGCCATCTCCCCCTACCCCTTTATTTCAACAACAAACTATCCGTACAGAACGATTCTACGTGTAAAAATAAGTCGAAAAGAACGAGCAACATTTTCTCGTTCGAGGCTTCGTTTTCGAGATGATTGAATCTGAAAATTTCATGACCATTTCATCTGACCATCGATCGTTTTCTCTGCTTTCGACGGAAGTCCAAGTACTATCCAGTGATGACTTGTTGGCTAGGCTTATTCCCACTATGACGTCATGCTGCATAGTAGTAGGGTCTCCATAACCACGAGAGATGCATTTTTGTTCTATTCATGGCTAGTAGTTTGAGTGTACGGTTACGCCAATGCCTCTCAGTCTTGTACTATCCTACTCTGTCTCTATACGTTTAGCTCGCATCCTTTGTCACGCCATGGAATTGTGTTACGAGCGACTCAGCCAATCAGCGTGCCTAGCCATCAAGTCATCGCTGGATAGTAGATCTTAAATCAGTGAGCCACTCACCCACATTATCATGAAGAGGAACACCACGTTCACGCATAGGACCAAAATGGCGGGACCCTGGTAAAACCAGTCGTAAGGATGCGACACCATCCATGGACAATGCTTTCCTAGCCCCACTTCCTGCAAAATGCCGGTTTCCATTTGTTAACGTCGTTTCTTTCGCAGGTGCAACTCGTTTAAACAACGTCTATGCCTGTCGTACATGTTATCAATACTACATATGTATTATGGTAGCTGTTACGTTTCTTTATACCCCTATATGCATTTTTAAGTCGCGCGCCAGAATCGTAAGTGTAACCGTCTTTTGTGTCACGTAGTAGTCGGTAAAGATCGGGAAAGATCGGATATGATCGGACACGTTCGTCAAAGAAGAAGATCAAGAAGGTTCTCAAGCTGGTCGTTGCACGTGCATTCCCGCGACGAATAGAATTCTATATAGATTTCCAAATTTGTGAATATTAGTTCCTCCTGGTTGTGTATCAATTTTGAAACGTTTTCTAAGCTTTCGACTGTGCCCAACGTCGAATCGAGCCCCCTCATATCGAACGATCGACGGCTGACCGAGATTTCCCGCGTAATTGTTCCACTTTTGTGGCTTCCAGCTCGATCCTCGAGAGACTCTGACCCGATACGAGCGAAAAAAGGTTTCGGTGCAGTTCCGTGTGATTAAAATTCTTGGAAAACGGAGATCCGAGGAATTCGATGTAGCAGCTGCTACAGTGTGTGTCGCGTAGTCGTGTCAGTGTTCTTACACATTCATCGTTGACCAAGGAACCGCGCGATTTCAGTAAAACTTCGTCCATGGGCGTAGAATCGAAAATTATTTACGAGATACTTAATGATAATAATTGTAATTGGCCACTGACGTATTAGGACCAAAGGATACGAGAGTTTCTTTATTCGAACAGTATAATATACAGGGTGTTGTTTTCGTATCGTTTCCATTGTCCTTTCGCGTCACGAACTCGGTTGGTGCGTTAATACGAATCGTGTCCCGAAATTCTTACGACACCTATTCGATACATTCCCGGCGTAACCAGCAGCACGATATGGGGGGTTTCAACGACCGTGTGTTCGCCCAATTTCGTCCCAACCGTTCTGTGACCCTCGTGCCAACGGGTATAAAGTTTACGCGGGAACTTTGGAAAAGAGGTTTCCTGCGATGGATCGCCGCGTTTTCTCATTCCCTTCTGTCCCTCGCGGCTCTGTTCGTATTAGAAGTTTGCAGGGACCGTGGGACAGGCGGAGACGAGCAGAATTTTTATTAACGCGTTCCCGCCATTTTTCTACGTTCGAAGATGCCCTCGAATTACAGCATGAAAATAATTCGACGGTGTACCTGCTGCTTGACAACATTTCTAATGGAGAAATTACATTGTAAACAATTTTGCAACACGTTTCGTAAGTTCGAAGCGTCGGTCACCGGTGACCACCACGACGGTCATAAATAACAAACGTGCAACAGCGAATCTGAGGTCTAATTTTAAAAAATGTACTATAAAATTCTAACGCTTTTGAGCACCATTTTTTTAATGCCTCTGAAAGCTAGATAAATTGCACTTAGAGGAAGCTTAGCAATGAGAGTATTGTTGTTAGAACATTCAGTTTTAATTTCGCGCCTTCTGTTATTAAGTGATGCCGCTATGTGGCGCTACAATAGGTCAAGCCTGTCCGTTTTCCTTGATGTGAGGTTCTTTTCTTTATTAATAAAGATCACACTGTTCTACTGAGTTATAAGTTTGATTTCTGTACGAAATTAAGTCTGATTACTGAACAATTATTTTTGTTAGTTTCAAATTTACTATTCTTCTTGATGTTTTCTTACCTGGTTTTGATGGGCTGCGCTGCTCTGATCTAACGACTTCGCGATACCCCACATGGCGATAAAGAGAACCGGCATACCTAAAATTAAATCGATACAATACGCCAGTATACAAGGGTTGTTCAACTGCGTTAGGGGTCGCCTCGAGTACCCCTTTGCTTTTGACGATGGTTAACGATATTTCAGAAACGACTTGTTTGTGCAACTGGAATTTATTGCCGCGTAACCCTTCCACGACCCAAGGAATAATAATGATGTCTTTAAGTCTGATACACGTTTCTCACGTATAATAAAAATTGTCTATTACATTAAAATACCATACACAAATGAAATAATCAATTCTTTTGCTCAATTTTGGTAAAACTTCTGTTGACTCATTGTTTGAAAGTAAAAACGTCTAGTATGGTGTATGCAATAATATATAAAATGGCGCTGCTAATTTTACAGTATACCACGTATGCACAACGAACAATTGCATAAATTGTTACGAAACCGTGAAATGCAAATGTTCAATTGAAAAATAAATTCTACCGTTACAATCAATTGCGTATGAGACTTTGAAATATCAATAAACGACATTTTAATCCCCCACTTTAGAGGTTAAAGGCACGTATTCGTACTCGCAGAAAGGAGTGCCATTTTGGATTTAAATGAAACTATCAGGATTAAATTAACACGATTAAAATACATAGAACTCGCAGACTCCTGGTTTTCCAATTATTTTGAACTTTCTGTGGTCTCGTTAAACGATCCATCGCAGTGCAATTCCTGGAACGACAAATTCTACAAACTGTAGAGTCTGTTGAAATATTTACAAACGTAGATTACCAGCGCATCGAAAGTTGAGGTTAGGTTTGGCAGGGCTTCGAGAATACCTCGAGAACATTCTACGAGATTAAAAATATAATTAAAATCTTACCCCAACCTATAATTAGGCACAGCCTCAGTTTGATGTTGTCGCCGGTGAACGTTTTCACGACCAACAGGAACAGATACAAGCCTGAAACGAAAATAATAATTATGCTCAAGGAAGAATTGGTACTGTAGAAACTCCAGTATCGATTTGTAACGGAATGCTTTAATTTATGTCAAAAAAAGGAATATTTATACACGAAGAGTAAAATTTCTGATAATAGAGTTTTACAGTAATTGGAGAAACGTTACTGCTGTTTGCTGTTCGTTACCGTTCGCTATTATTAATTCGTGACAGGGTGAACTTCTTTACATTTTAATCAGCTGCTTCTAATTTACGCAAATGAATGCAGATTACCGAAGAGCCAAGGTTAATTACCTTCCACGAACATCCAGAAGTAATTGGTCAACTGAAAGTAGTTAAGCAAAAAGAGAAAAACGACGCAGGTAGGTATGTCCGGCTGCATAGAAACCTGCGAACAATAATTATTTGTTTAAAACTTGCTCGATGGACGAGGTAAACGAGTGGCCACTACGGTGGATTATTTTTCATTTGGAAAATATATTTGATTGGAAAATAAAGTTCATTATTTGAGGTGATGGATATTGTTTTCATTTTAGCTTTAAGTGGATATTTACATCTCACTGTATTTTGTTTTTTTTTTTTTTTTTTTGAAGATAACCATTGTTTTTAAGATGAGTTCACTATACTAAGCTACCCAATATAATAAATATACGTGTCTTTCACTTTCTGTAAATTTTGCAATTTTGTCTATAATTTTTTAAACAATTTTTATAACGTGAATGTTTTTAATTTCTATTTCGTGAAGTTAGTTTCGGTTAGTTTGGTTTCCGTGTGACGAAAATGGTACTTTGGGGGCCATTTTGTACACGTGTCGCACCTTTTCGTAAGATCAAAGACAAAGTGTACATTTCGACCGTGTTACTAATCCAGGCTAAATTAATCCTCGTCGGTTATGTCAACAAGTATTTTGCCTCGTCAGTTTAGGATTAACTGCGTCGTCTCTCGATAAATTTACCCGTGAAATGAATCTGCCTGCTAGAGTTACGCGATGTGACGAGCTGAACAGCTAGTGGTGAATCGTGTTTTTTAACTGGCGTGTTTCAAACGCCGAACGGTAAACAATCGAGAAATACCCGACGAGAAAAAGTATCGGTGCAAGTTGCATTTTTACAGGGTGCATTTGACTGTTTGGAATTTCAAACATTTTATATTATAGGACACGTCATTTATCTTCAATATTACTTAAATTACTTAATTTGGTCATCTGGCAATTGTACCTTTTTTGACAATAGGAATTTCCGTACCCTATAGTCATTTATCATACTTAATTAGTTTCACCGTAATTTGAGTCCAATTTACCTGCCCTTTGGAGTCTCGGGAGGACTGGGAAAAATTGTAATGAGAGATTCTAGAGATCAAAATAGGACAAAAATTAAGAATACCAATTTGTTGATGGAGGCTTCGTTAAAAAGTTATTAACAATTAAATCCAAAAATTTCAAATCATTCTGGAAAAATTATTATCGATTGCGGGGGTCAATTACAATCATTTTTGGTGAACAGACATACCCCCGAAATCTTACCCACTTTCAAGAAAAAAATTCGAGAAGGTGCGAAATTTTTCGACGGAAAAAGAATTTCGAATCGTTTTGGAAAAATTATTTTCAATTTGGGGGGTCAATTGCAATCATTTTTGGTGAATGGACATACCCCCGAATTCCTACCCACTTTCGAGAAAAAAATTCGAGAAGGTGAAATTTTTCGGCGGAAAAAGAATTTCGAATTGTTCTAAAAAAATTATATTCAGTTGCGGGGGGCAATTACAATCATTTTTTGTGAACAGACATACCCCCGAATTCCTACCCACTTTCGAGAAAAAAATTCGAGAAGGTGAAATTTTTCGGCGGAAAAAAAAATTTCAAATCGTTTTGGAAAAATTATTTTCAATTGGGGGGGTCAATTGCAATCATTTTTGGTGAATGGACATACCCCCGAAATCCTGCGCATTTTCGAGAAAAAAATTCAGTTCGTGCGAAACTTCAAATGTTAATAACTTTTGAACAAAGCCCCCATCAACAAATTGGTATTCTTGATTTTGGTCTTATTTTGACCTCTAGAATCCCCCATTAAAATTTTTCCCAGGGGTTACCGAACACCCTTTATATATTTTGTTAATAAATTTAAGGTGTTTGTAAATAGTTTATGAACTTATCTATTCACTACATAACTCGGCTCCACGAATCTTGCGGGAGCCAGCGGTAACTATTTTCGCCGTTTCACGATGACCTTTTAATTATCGAAAAGCGAGAGGCGCGTCGGCCACTCGACGAGGCGTAATTAATTTTCCTATCCAGTGGCTCGTTAGTGCGGCTACCAGAGACGTTGCGACTAATGGCAAACGCGTTTACCACCGCGAAAAATCCTCTTCGAAGCACGAGGAATCCCCTTTCAAAAAACGAAGAAGCAACACCATTTTTTGGAAATCTTTTTCTGACGATTCGAAACTAGTATAAAGTCATGAATATATTAAACGTGTACACTTTGAATAATAAATTTACCAATTCTCCAAAATGCAGAAACGTCCATTTAAAGTCGCGTTCCAATTCGCGTTTGTTCGCGGTAATGTATTAATTGTTGTTATTATAATATTAATCACGGTTTCCGAAACGCGGCATTATTCCTGGAAAATGTGATTGATAATTTAAACCTCAATTTAAATTATTAAGTATCCGTTGCGAATCCGACAATGTGTATACACTGTTTCCTGTTAAACTGGCATGTTTATATAATTTAATACTGTCAAAAATTACGAGCAATTACGAAGCACGTTGCTTATCGAACACTGTCGCAATTGAGGCGACTTTATTTAGAAATGATGTTAAAAATAAATTCTTTTTCAAATGGAACGTATAAAAGTCGATGTTTGTCGATTTTTAATTATTAAATTATTAAACATTCTATAAGAAAATATTTTCAAGTCACTTGTCTCACAAGTACTTGTTAGTATTATCACCAAATTATCTTTTTTCTACTCGTCGAAATTTCTACGCGTATTTATACAACATTTAACCCCATTCTAAAGAAACATTCTAATTTTTCGTTTCAGCAACAAGTGGCAGAGTGTTAATTCTCGACACCTTTTTTTCCACGTGTAAAGTCTAGTGCAATCTTGTTCTCGTTCAACAATTAAGTATTACATTCAGCGAGGGTCACAGAATACTAACAACGCGACAAAGAGAAACCTTTGGGAAAGAAAAATTGAAAAACCAGCGGAAAGAAAATTATACACATTAAAAATATCGTGTTGAATATCTACCTGCATCACGTTGTTTAGGATCCACATCATGTCCGCGAGTATGTAAGTGAACATTAAGTTCGTGTGTATGTTGTTTCTGATGCACCTCAGTTCCCTGTAACAGAAATTCAGTTGGTTAAATAAAGTATATTTCAACAAGACTAACCGGATTAAACAACCAACCTTCATTATTCATTAGCGTTTTTTTCGTTCAAAGTTTATCGTTTCGTTTCAATTATTGAACAGTCTGCAACGAGTAATTTTCCTTAATGTGTATATCATTACTCCGTATAATGGAGTTTCCAGCGGTAATATTTTGCATTATTTACAATTACATTACCAACAGTAAAATTCGATACAGAATTCTATTAATATACATTAACGTTACGCGTTAACGAGGGTGATTATGTCTCGGTGCAAACATTGCTCAACGTTAATTACACGCACGTGTAAAATCAAACGAGAAGTTTCCATTACTTCGGTCGTCCGAGTAAATTCGACAAACGCGTACGATCGCCGAGAGCAAATATGCTTTCTTTTATGAAATAGGATCCCTTTTTTTTTTTTACCACATACGCGGGACAGGTTTTATTTGGTTTACGATACACGAAACAACGGTTGAAACGACTGTCCTCGAAATAGAAATTTTTTTTTTTCTACTTCGTACAATTTTCATTTGTCATTCCCAGTTCCCGTTTCTCTCAATTTCCAATGTAAAATTTCATGCAAGGGACATTGATGTGCATTCGAGCTCTGGAAATAAAATTCTCACTCAAAATATGTAATCTGTGACATTTTATGGGAATTTTATTTTTTAATTTTTATACCAACACAGCCATTGACACGTATCAGGTTGCAAATAAATAATTATATTTCGGCGATACTATTTCCTTTTTTTCTTTTACACGTTTCTGATGAAAATTTCACCTCCTTTAATTTTGATCTCGATTGATTTAACATTGCAATAGCGTTCACCCAGAACAGAATTATCTTCTTCTACGTATAATGAAATTAAGGAGTGATTTATTTTCACAAGTAATAACAACGACGCGATTTTCAGTCGCCAATTAGAAACGTCGCTCGTGAATTATTCCTCGTGGAAATTTCGCGCTTTGATGGAGGCACAAGAAACGGTGATATCTCGTTCAATGTAACATCCGTATATCAAATTCAGAGTTCTAAGTAGTTGGATGCTGGTTTTGTCGCTCGCATAGCAAGGCAAACAAGAAATAACGCCGTGCCAGTTACCCCGAGTAATTTCAGTAGTATGAAACCGAATTAGTCCGACGTTTGGCGAGCTATTGCTTCGAAAATTGTTTTCGGTCACCGGAACTGCAACGGACTCGTTAACTATTTCTTTGACATAACGTTTTGTTATCACTAGACTGCGGATGTTTATGCATTTATGGGAAATTGTAATTTTCAAAAAACTACAGAATTTAGTTAATATGCAAGAATATAAGAAATACTTAAAGTAAGGTACGAATTATTATATCTAGGGGTCGAGACAACCCTCTACGAAGCTCCAATTTCATTAATTTTATTAATAAACATATGAATTCGCATGAAGATCTGCAGTCTAGTTATCACTGATATCAGTTTAAAGTCGCCAAATATAAGAAAACAAGTCCACTGTTTTCAATTAAACGAAAATTATTAATTCCAATTCCCGATGTAGTACAAAATGGCGGAGTTCGCAAACTTGCCGCTGCAAGTCGATGGAATTTTTCATAATATCCGCTTCCCCGTTTATTGTCAGAGTCGTTGTTTCGTTTATCGTACAAATATCGAAAAAAAATTCTAAAAATTCCATTCGATTTGAAAATAAATTGTTGCAGGGCGTCTCGCAACGCGGATGGCGCTTTGAAAGCAAAAAATTGTTACGTACGCTTGGTAAAAGAACAATTAACCGTTGACGTCACTGCTGCATGGCCTACGCGGGCCAATGATTGTAACGAGAAATAAGGGAACGCGATTCCATTCAATGCGCAAAACAATTTCCGGCCGAAACGGCGTGAAAAGTTTTTGTTCGACGCTTTTATTATACTCTTTCCCCTATGGTTCCTAGTTTTATTTCGGTATACGACGCCGAGAATTGTGCTCTTCGCCCGTTAAAAGCGCCCGATGGGGTACAAAATCAGTACTTTCGAACGATTACGGAATAATCAAGATTGCAGATGTCGGAGGTCAGGTTTCCACGTGGCGGAACGTTTCGAGATCAAACCCCTCGATGCTTGAATATTTTCTTCTTGTATACACTGTTCTGCTCAACATAGAAATATTTAAAACCATACAATATAGTTATTTATTAAAGAGAATACAAAAATTCAAAGTATAAGATGCTTTTTCACGCGAAAAACGTCGAAAAAATCGGTTTTTGATTTTTCCTACTACGGCGCACCCTACCAAAAAATCTGAAAAAATTCAGGGAGATAACCAATGACAATACGCATTTACAGTAATTATAGAAATCTAGTGTCTCGAAAGCTTCAATACGAAATACGTATTTTTCTGTGTTTTTTTGCGTTTTCAATTTTTCACACCTAGGATTTGGAATCGAAAAATCGGAAAAAATTCTCAAACACGTATCTCAATAACCACAATGCACCAGATTTTTTTTTCATAATTTTTGTACTCGATTAAATAGGGGAAATAGGCAGAAATTCGTTAATCCGAATTTTCTCAATAACTACCCTTCCAAACAAGATAGAGGGTTAAAATTTGGCACAGAACGTTTTTTCTTGATGCTCTATCGATGGATCCATCGTATGTCACATTTCGTTCAAGGGCACATTTGACCCCCTTATTCGGCTATACCCTTTACGATCCAAAATACACAACTTCTTTTCGTGTGCATTAATCTGTGTTTTGTTGGATGTTGCAACATATTCTTTTGCGATTTTAGTGACACAGTTTACGTAGCTTCGTTAGAATCTCGTATAATTTACTGATAAGAAATGAACGATGGAAACTTACACGAAAGAAAGTATCGTACAAAGGACAGAAGATCGAAGAAATAAATACGTGATGTACGACCTTACCTTCGTCCCTTTTTAAACGAAACAATTACTTGGTACAACTAAACTAGTAGATAGAAGGAAGCAATGTTCCTTCTCTAGTTTAGTAGTCTAGCTTGTAAGAATGTAAAAGGGAGATCGATGGAACTTTGATTCCATCTAGTTAGCTGTTCTATCGTGGCTAACACCGAGCTAATGGCTGCGAATTAACAATTGTTTCTTGATATAATAAACGAATTTAGATTTACAGTCAGGCAGGTGTATCGTTAACCATTATGTTAGGCAGGTTATTTTTATTTGAAGACAAATTCTTTCAACTCTCTTCGTTGGTTGTGCATCTTTCATTGGTTACACTTTCGTTTGTTTCTTCTTCGATCGTTGGTCACAGAAGATCTTTATTAATGGAGGGTGGTTGGGAATCGGTTAAATCGGGTCACCACGTAGTTAGACCTGAGTAATATTATTTAGCATTTAATTAATAATCGTATTACTCTCAGCTGGGCAATGCAATTATTAATTAAAAATCTTCTCTGCATAGATCACCATAAATATAGAGCTCAAGAATAGTTTCTCAACTGATCCATGAGAAGATTACGCTAAAATCACCTCCGAATTTTCAGCTCGTTATGGCAATCAAATTGGGCCACGAAAGCCCATAAGGTGAAAGGTTCGTATACCTGGTCTGCGATCGTGTATCAAAGATTCCATTAAAAACTTTTGCATAACGTAAGAACGATGTCCTTTGTAACCGATTAATTTCCCCTAGCTCGAAGCACGGTGCTCTGATTGTTTTACATCACTCAGAACTTCTCTCGCTCGAAGTCGTGCTTCTCTATTATTTGTTCGCATAATGAAGGTTCCGTCGTAATCGTTAGTAGCGTTCTCGAGGAAAGTTCGTAAGAGAAACGGACGGGACGGAATCTCTCTTTTTGCGCGTGATAATTTTTTCTGATGAGAAGGTACGAGACTGGGCGGAGTTTATTTATTATTCGAGGCAAATTGCGTCGCAAATCTCTGCCCAAGCTGAACTGAAACGGAGCGGAACCGCGGTGCATATTTACAGGGGCTAGAAACAATGTTCGCGGGCTATCACCGTAGAAAAGTTTGCGTAATTACATTTATTAAAGCGTTGATTAACTTGATGAGTACCTGTGACCAAATGTTAAATCATTTTTTTAAACAAATTCTCATAAGATACGTATATTACATTACGAGTTTATCGACGCACCATGGTGGTGTTTTTTTATTAATAAAATCTACTTTAATAATGTCTGAACGTATGCACGAACGCATTTACGCGGCTCTTTGCTACAAGTCGGCCTTTGCACGAGTACTTTTTGCCCAGCCATTGTGTCTCGGAGCCGCAACTTCGCTTCGAACAAAGAAGTCAGCAACAGGCTCTCGAAACGCGAAGAGGAACAATGGCTAAAACGACAAGATAACGATAGTCGAGCTTCTTTTGTGACGGTGAAGCTAATATAACCGCGAGTTACTCGGTAGCTTTCCATCGTTGCATTCCTCGAAGACGGATAATCGTGATCGCGCGACGCCATATTGGAATTCGTTTATCTCCATCGATCTTATTCGAAAGATAAATGTATTTTGTAGCACTTGAATTATTTTTATTGTTCCTTGAAAGTACTCTAAATTATAAACTACTTTTTCTAAATTCATCTGTTACGCCACTCTCGTTAGAACCGTTACTTTGCAGATGTTGAGTCGCGGATCGCGAGGTTGTCTAACAGCGAACAACTTGTCTTAAGCAATGATGCTGGAAACGCATGTTCCTGACAGTTCTCGTGTATTGCAGCCTTAGTTATTTACGTCGCGCGTCGCTTATTCGCAATGTTCATATTCGCGCGCAGGTCTCGTTACGAGTAACGTTGCTCGACAGAGCTTGCAATTGACTGCTAGAAAATTCATCCATTGTTCTCAACGCGTTCTACCTATTTACGTTTCCCCTCAATTTTCATTATAATTCCAACAGTTACTCGCGTGGGATCCATCGCCTCCCGTGCTCGCCGCCAGAGGGCTACGCTCTTGTCTCTCTCGCAAGCGTTCGAATATTCTGGCGTTTAAAGAACCATTATCGAGTTTC